ACGTTATAAGAAAAGGAAGGATATTAGAGGATCATTTCTCGGTTTTCCAAATGGTGGGAAAAAAGACTGTCCACCAAATAAGCATAGCATGGACTCATAGTAGAACTCATGAGTGAATTATTAAATAGTTTGTGAGCACTTAATAAAGAAAGGCATAGCCAGAAGCCAGAACGGTTCATTTATAAAACAATGGCAAATTAGCCGTGAAATCTTTGTCAGCATGTTTTAGTTGATCAGGAGCCATCCAACATTCAACACCTGTGAACTGTCCCATTCAGGACTTTTGGCGGTAACTAAGATGTTCAAATGTGGTAGGAGTCTTTGTTAGCCCATGATAATTTGGTTCATATAGTGTATTTTCAAATGTGATAATTAATTAAAAACTTCTGCTTTGTGAAAGACACTGTTAAGAGAATGAAAAAAATTCAACAGTAGAACCACGAATCTGAAAAGGCTATATACTGTGATTCCAACTATATGACATTCTGGAAAAGGCAGAACTATAGATACCATAAAACACAGATCAGTGATCAGTGGGGAGGCGGAGCAGGAGGAGGGGGACAAATAGGTGAAGCGCAGGGGAGTTTTAAGGCAGTGATATCTTGATGGTGGGTCCATGACTCTACACATTTATAAAACTTCCCCCCAAAAACTATACAACACAAAGAGTGAATCCTAATTTAAATCATAGACTTTAGTTAATAGTAGTGTATCAATACTGGTTTGTCAGTTGTAACAAATGTATCACCAATGCAAGACCTTAATAATGGAGGGGTGGGGGTGGGGCTGGGTATATGGCAACCTCCTGTACTTTCTGCTGGATTTTTCTCTAAACTTAAAACTGCTCTAAAAAATAAAATCTATTTTTTTAAATATCAAAATTAAAAGTAGGAAAAATAATTGATTGAAAACTTCTCTGAAAATAAAACTAAAAATTATGAAAATACGCCTTTTTAAAATTCACTTTATAAATGCAACAATGAATTCTTAGAGTGACTAAAAAGTGAATCACGTAACTTTTGGGGGGTGATGGAAATGTTCTGTATCTTGACTGTGGTAGTAATATTGGTTGTATAAATGTATCAAAACTCATGGATATTTACAACTTAAAATACCTTCATTGTATTGTGTGTAAATTATACCTTAATGAAGTTAATTTTTTTAAGTGAGGTGAGTGACTTTGGAGTGTAATTTTTATGCCAAAATTGTATGATAGCACAAAATACCATCCTTCACTTCATGTTTGACTTTTGCCACGTGATCCTAAAGAGTATTATTTTTATAAGAGCTTTAACAGTTTTTTTGAAGTCTCCTCTAAATACTTTATATTTGTGCCATTCTCTTTTAAACTCTCTTTGAAGTCATTATCCTTATTAAATGTCTCTTCTTTAGTTGCTAAATCTTCTAAATCTGCTGACCCTCATTGGTCAGTGGCTTTGTGTATGACTTGATCTGTTCCCTAGCATCACTGCCATGGATTACTGGTTTGTTTCATTTTTGGTTTTTGGCAAGATTTGCCATTCACTTTGCAACTAATTTCCCTATATTTGGACTCGGCAAAAGAAGATGGACAAGGATGTTGAATCAAAGGATGGACATCGATGCTAGTGTTGCATGGGGAAAGATATTTGAGTAGGAAATACTTTTATATTGCCTTAGAGTTGCTTCATTAGGGACTAATTTCACATTAGGATGATTTTTGCTTTCCTATGCAACTTTGTAATTGAAGAGACTGCAGTGCTAAAGGTGTGAGAATGCCTTGGAGTAACAGGATGCATTTTAAAAATCAGCTACGTAAATGAAACCAAGCTGAACTAATGGCTCAAACAGTGGATGGCCCTATGGGTATTCAAGAAGATACTGACAAGAGGGACATGATCGGCCTAAACCAGCAAGGCGAGATTTAACAAACATTATCTATCATATAGTATCTATTTAAGTTCAAAATACTAATTTCAAATGTTCAGTGTAGATTGCACCTGTGGCTTGTTGCACCGGTGCTTACAGGACAAGTCTTGGTTTTAGTGGCCCGATGAAGGCAAGCCAGTGGTATCAGACAGCTCCGCAGGAAGTAATGTTGTTCTTGCCTGGGTTAATTAAAGTACGCCATGCTGACTGGTGGAGATAAGAGTCACGCTGCATTCTGCACTGATAGGACCATGTGGAATAATGTGTCCTGTTCTGAACTCCACACTCTTATAAGGGTTTTGATGACTTATTGTGTCCAGAGGAAGGATGGGATCATTGAGGAGAGGGGGGACAGAAAGCCATTTCATTCGAAGAATGACTGACAGAACTGAGAATATTTATCCTGGACAAAGTGAGACTTTTGGAGAGCCTGACAGCTGCCTTCAGACCTTCCAAGTGAAAAGGGAGAATTTTAGCATTTTGCTGTAGGACAAGATGACCTCTAAGAGTCCTTCCCCCTGGAAGATTCTGATGCCTGCTGTTGTGTTAAATCTTCGCTTTAAAAGAGCTCGTCACACGTGCATTCTAATTCTTCCTCCAGTATCCTGCATAAACCCTAAACAAAAGCATACCGCTGCAGCTCAGTACAAGCTAATCGCTTCCCACCTCCCATTAACTAATTGGAACCAACAGTAATAAGAGAGGATGAAAGACGGTTTTTATTCAATCTGGGCTGTAGCACACAGAACTGAGCTGCTAAGTGCGCTTTCAGAATGCTTCTCCAGATGTAGCTGGAGATGCTCCGGCTCCTCTGGGCAGGGCTGCTCCTCCTGACTTATGCTGACACCCTTGTCTTGGCAGAGGTGGGCTGTTTTTACTCTTGGGTGGTTATGTATCTATTAGTCAGCCGGCTATAGTCAGTGATAGCTTTGTTTCTATGCTGATGCCTTTAGCCAGTGAACTCACAGCTTCAGTATAGCCAAATCATACTAATTCAGGCCCCTTTCGTTGACAGTTAATTTTGGCAGAGATTGAACTGCAGTATTTTGAGCCACTCCTGAAGAAAAAGTTTGCTAAGGCAATGGGTAGTGTAGGTAAGGGGGGAGGAGGCAGCGTTTAACCTCTGTGAAAAAAATGAACCTTTCTTTGCATCTTTTTGAAGCACCCATCTCCTTGAAATTAATTGGCATGATAATTGAATATTCTCTCTTCTCTACATCAGGCTCTTTAGTACTGGTTACTGTGTCTCAGCCGTTCTCAGAGTTTGGTGTGTTGAAGAATCACCCAGGGAGCCAGTTCAAATGCTGATCCCCAGGCTCTGAGGCTACACCTTCTGATTCCTTCTGCCACTAGTGGACTGTGGACCGGGGGCTCTGAATTTATAACAAGCCCCCAGGGGATTCCACACTTTGTGGAAGGCTGCTGTGTGGACTCAAAAGCAAAAGTCTGCCCTTCTGTTCTTCAACACGTTCTCACTTAAAGAAAAAAATCTAGCAGCTTAGACCAAAGGCGTGAAGTTTTCCTTTGTACTTCAGAAGTGAGTGCAGAGAGAACCATCTGGAATTTAGATAAAAGTGTCTTGTGGAGTTTGAGGTTTGTGCTACGTGAGTTCTGCTCAGAATCAGAGCCTGCTGGACGGAGGTTTTGGTCTCTGATTCCAGCATCCTCCTTCTTGGGTTTTGATGGTGAAGACTAACTAGCCTAGGCTGGGGGATAAAATTCCGGCGTCCAGGCGTGGGATATGGGATTCAAATATCTGAGTACTGTGGGCCATTCACCTAACCTTGTGGAGCCTTGTCTTTTTCACCTACTGAGAAGGGAAAACAAATCATCTTAACGTCGTAAAGCTAATATGAGGATTAGATGCAAAGTCATTTCACAAGTGAGCACGTGTCACCACAAATGTTAGTCCCTCATTTCTCCCTCACTTCCCTTCCATCATAATTATCCAAGAGCAAGAACAAGACGCTTGACTGGACTTCTCTGTGCTTGCCTCCCTCATTTGCAGCTGCCGAGTATACACAACAAGGTGCCTATTAGAGAGAAGAAGTTAGAAATCCAAACATCAATATGGGTTTTTCTTTTCTTTTCTTTTTTTCCCTACATGAGGCTAAACCAAGAAAAATGAAAAGGTTTATGGACTGAAATTCTTTTTCTCTTAAAAGTGAAAAGAATTTTATTAAGTACAGTTTTGACTAACAAAATGCCAACCAGGGCTTGCTGCTGGCAGGCCGTCCAGCCTCCCACACCCTCTTCTGGGCAGGAAAAAGGAATGTGGCAGGCCTGGACTCCCCATGCTGATCCTGCCAGCAGGATCGTGGTGTTATTGTTTGGGACACTATTGCACCCTGCCCCACCTCTGAAAGATATGCATTGATAGGGAAACTGAGAAAAATAAAAGAACTTAACTAGTGTCACGTAGTCCGCAGGTCGGAGGCTCAAATCTGGGTTTTCAGGGAAGAAGTCCTAGACCCTTATATCCTCATGAGATTGACATCTCTCCAGCCTTTAAGGCTCCTGCCAGGACTATTACCTGGCTAGGTAAATATTCAACAAATATTTGCTTAGCACTTAATGTGCCAAATTCTGTGCTGAGTGCTGGAGGGCAAGTGATGACTAAGACACAAGCTCAACTCTCAAGGCATTCTCTAACGGGCCAGCACAGGAACAGACCTGCTGTGGTCCTGGCTCAGTGTGTATTGGGGCAAAGTATTTATTCTTCTGAGCCTTGGTTCACTCACCTGTGACATGGGGTTGATAAGACCAACCTTACTGGGTTGTTTGTTATGACTATGGAAATAATTTGAGAATAAATGCATTAGTAAAGAGTGCATGTAAAAGTCCTAGCCCAGTGTCTGGCACAGGGTTGGCAGTCTAGAAATGAGGGTGGGTGGGGGGCAGGCAGCTTTCAGGTCTGGCTCTTCTTGCAGAAGGAAACAGCTCCACTTCCTTCCAGGGGAGCTCTCCTCATTATTTCCCTTCCCGATCCTCGGGAGGTCCCCTGGCATTTGATTTTGGCAGAATCAGGACCCGAGCGTGCCAAATGAAGCCTCTCTTGGCCCATCCCATCAGCCCGTTTCCTGCAGGTAAGCTGTGACATGCACCAGCTTCAGGTACTTCTTCCAGAACAGAGTTCTTGTTGTGGCCTCAGGGTAGGTGGTAAGACCCTCGGCGGTGCCAAGACATGGGCTCTGGTCCCCACCTTCTTCTCACTCCCCACACCCAACCACCAGGTCGGGGTTACTAGAACTCAGTCTGCTTTGGGGAAAGAAGACTGTGTTCTAACATTTACTTACCAGATAGAGCTGAGTTTTCATTAAACAAACAGCTATTTGACTAATGGGTTTGGCCTTGGAACAGGAGCAGGCTGCTTACATTTCCAGGTTGTCACAATTCTGGGTTATAGTTCATATCTGCAGCAGGTGTGTCCACGGTCATGGGGCTTTGCATTTGGTTACCTTGCTGATGGGATCAAACACACACACACACAAGATTGCTGGTGAAAGAAAAGAGTTGCTATGTACAGTAACTCAAATGATTGATCCTGTTAACCCTGCTCACTGCACAGGACGCTGCCGGTGGGGCAAGACTGGGTAAGCTCCGTCTAAGAAAGGGAGGGACATAAGAGGCACAGATGGAAGATCTGGGAGCCCGGGACTAGCCGTTAGGGAAGATTGCGGTTCTGTCGAGAGTGAGGAGTGGGAGTGCTTGAAAGAGAAAAGAAGAATTTTAAAAGAAGAAGAATAGTAAAGAGTTGGAAGAATTTCAAAAGAGAACAGAAACTTCTAATGAGAATTTTACTTCTTATTAAGATTATGGTTAGTATGTTAAGTAAACCCTCTGTTCCGCCTCTCTTGGGCAAAGTTAGGTAAAATTTATCTGACTTCTATGTTGTGGGCTCTGTTCAGGGGAGGAGGCAACGGTGTTCTGAGCCTTCATTTAATGTCAGGTGGGTCTCCAAGTGTGGGCCCTGGAGGAGCAGCATCTGCACCCCTTGAGAACTTGTTAGGAATGCAGATTCTCAGGCCCCACCCTGGACCCACTGAATCAGAGCCTCTGGTTTGGGGGCCCAACAGTTGGTGTTTTAACAAGCTGTCTGGTTGATTCTGATGCAGGTTTAAGTTTGAGAAGCACGTAGATGGAAGCAACACTTTAGACACAGGGAAGACCTGAGATTGACTAGTACCATCCACAGAAGGCAGGACAGTTGTGCTCAACCCTGACTGACCCTAGAGTCACCAGGGGGGCTTTAAGTGTCCAGATGCCCCACCCTAGAACAACTAAAGCAGGATCTTCAGGGGTGGGACCAGGCAGCTCTCCACGTGACTTCTGTGTGCAGCCTCAGGTAGGAATGACTGGGGATTGTCTTTATCTCTGTGTCAGGGAAAACAGAGACTCCAGAGAAGGTTAGAAGTTTTAACCTTGAATTCAGGGGGTGGATCTCAAGGAGCCTTTAGACAAGTGTTGGTGGAGCCTGCAGCCAGGCTACCAGCAGTTTATGTAGAACCAACGTCAAAACGAGCACTCTCCACAGAGGGCCAGACTCCCTTGGATAGACTGTGTAACATTTGGCTTTGTGTTAAAAAAGTAATAAATTTGTGTTTGGAATTATAAAAGCCTGTTTTCATTCCAAACAATAATAAGCTAGAATAAAGGGGGAAAAAGCAATCATAATTCAGACTCAGCCATCATTTTCACTTTGATGTGTTTCCTTACACATCTCATTTGCATATGTTGATATAACTGAGATGATATAATCTGGTGCCTGATGTTTTCCTTGAGCAGTGTCTTTTGGGTAACACTACAGTCTTTGTAGCCATCATTTTAATGACTGCAGGATATTGGTATATGGTTTCTAAATAATACATCATAATGGTTTGAAAACCAGCTTCTTTCATAATGTGCAAAAAGGGCCTGATAACGGAGATGCAGTTGCTCAGTCTGTTCTCGCTGGTGTTCTTGGGTTCCACTGGGAGATGCCCCGCTGCTCCGTCATCTCCAGGAGGGTCTTCCCAGGAGTGCCTTAAGCAGGCCGTAGCTTTCAGCACCTGAGCTCCTTTAATATAGCTCCTCATTTCCCACTACACAATTCATTTGAATGTAAGTTCTATCTTTCCTGATGCTTGTGGCCCAAAGGCAGGGATTTTGGCACAGAGGAAATTTTTTAACTTTTTATTATAGACCACTTTAAACATTTACAAGGATACAGAAGAGTACAGTGGACCCCTCCATGTAGCTATTTATCCAACTTCAACAATTATCAATTCGTGGCTGGTTGTGTTTCATCTATATCCTTACCCCTGCTTGCTCCTGTATTATTTTGAAACAAATCCCAGACGTCATATTATTTCATGCATAAATACTTCAGTATTTCCATACTGTATAAGGACTCTCTATTAAAAACAACCATAATACCAGTATCATACCTAAAATAATTAATAATAATTCCTTAACAGTATCAAATATGTAGTCAGTGTTCAAATTTACAGTTGTCTGCTGAATGTCACTGATTGATATGCCTTGTAAGTCTTTTAAATAAGTCTATAGTCTCTCTTTCTCTCTCTTCAATTTATTTATTGAGAAAATAGGGTTGTCCATTCCAAAGAGGATTTTTTTTATATGATAACTTGACGACTTCAGTGTGTACCATCACTGCTTTTGTGTTTTTATTTCCAGTAAACGTATGACATGATGAATCACCCACCCTCATTTTACTCCTCATCGGTCATTCCTTCCCTGACCCTCTCTCCCATCCTCTGACTCCCTTTCATGATCCTCACTACCCTCATCCTTGATCTACGGTCGGGATTCATCTGCATAATTTGCTGGGCCTGGTGCAAAATGAAAACACAGGGCCCCTTGTTCAAAAGTATTAAGAATTTCAAGACAGTTACAACAGAGCATCAACCCATTGAAACTCCCCTGATTTTGAGGCCCTGCACAGCTGTGCAGGTACCTGCACGTGAAGTCAGCCCTTTCTGTATCCTATCCCTCACCTTTCCTCCCTACTCATTAGCTATGAGCAAAGCTCAGGAGTTAGGTGGGGCTCAGGCTGAGATAAAGATGCCCTTTCCTGGGGAACTAGAAAGACTGCTAACGGCCCAGGGAAGTGGCATGGAAGAATATCACCTGCTGTGGGTGAAGGGTTAAAAGAAAAGGCACCCACAAAAAAATTAGAACCCAAGCTTGCTTCATGCTCAGTTGAGAAATCAAAGTCAAAATCTGCAGTGCAAAAACCCAAAACCATTTAAAAAAAAAAAAAACCCAGAACTGTGAACACCGCAGAGCCATGGCAAAGGCAAATGCAAAACTTCCCTTTAGGAACTCCACCACCCAGAACTCCCTGCCATGGCAGACGGTTCCAGGAAGATGAGCTCACTGCTCTGAGAAGAAGGCAGAAGATGGGAGATGCTCCTACTCCATGAGCTTCAGATAACTGAGCAAGGGAAAGAGCTATCTCACCCTAAGTATGTTTAACATCAGCAAAGAGATAAAGGAAGAAATATGACCCATACAACAAGAACAACAGATGTGGTAGGCAGAGTAATGACATGGCAAAAGGGACTTTGCGCATGTGATTAATGTTAAGAACCCTGAGATGCGGAGAGCATCTTGGATTATCCACATCCTGGATGTGGGTCCAATATAATCACAAAGGTCCTTAAAAGTGGAAGAGGAAGGTGGGGAATGAGTCAGAAATGAGAAGACAGAAAAGGCAGGAGAGATTCGAAGGGACTTGACCTGCCTTTGATGGCTTTGAAGATGAAGGAAAGGGACACACCCAAGGAAGGAGGGCGGCTTTAGAAGCTGGGAACAAGCCTCAGCTGACAGCCAGCTGGGAAATGGGAACCTCAGTCCTACAAACACAAGAAACTGATTTCCGCCAGCAACCCAAATGAGCAAGCAAATGGGTCCTTCCCCAGAACTTCCAGAAAAGATGCAGCCCTCCAGACACCTTAATTTTAGCCGAGTAAGACTTCTGAGCTACGAAACTGTAAGAGAATTTGTGCTACTTAAGCCTCTATGTTTATATTCATTTGTTACAGCAGCAGTAGAAAACCAATACAATGTATTTTTTAAAGACAGGTTTGGAAAAGCACCAAGAAAAACCTATAAATAAGGGAAGTCTGAAGAATTTACGAAAAATGCAGCACAGAAGGATAGGATGAAAGAACCCATGAGGCACAAAGAAATTGGTAGTAATTATTGACTGCAAAATGAAGTGGATCTAACGTGCTGAATTATAATAACATGCAAAATAAAAGTGAGAATTTCAGAGAGAAGTTAGATATTCTAAAGTCCTTTTCTTATTCAAGAGAAAGCAAGACATACTGATTAACTTTAGACTTTTAAGAAAAATATAACATTAAATTTTCATGCTAAAAATTTAAAGATAACTGCTCATTAATAATATGTACATGAACTGTGTAGAGGAAATAAATCCATCGAAACCTAGGAAAGGAGAAACAAAAATAAGCAAACATGAAGCTTGGTCCACAGAAGACACAAAATAAGATGGTAGAAGTCAGTTCAAACAAACCACTCATTACAATAAATGTCAATGTATAAAGAGATTAAATTGATCTATTAGACACAGAGACTAAAGTCAGATTTTTCCAATTCAGCTATATGCTATTTTCAAAAGGGGTGAAGTAAAATGCTTAGGGTTTATGTAGAATGTTACAGGCTGGAAGTTCCTCAGGACTGGCACTCTCTCTTTGCATAAGATAACGGGTTTCAGGAAGGCCCAGAGAGAAATGGCCTTCAGGAAGTGTCCCTGTGTCAGCCAGGTGACTGTCCAACTTGAGGGCCACCCACCCGGATCCACTGGGAAATGGCTACTGGATGAAGCATCCTTTCAAAGCCAAGCCTCTGGCCAGCTTACTTGTGCTGGATGAGAGCTGTGGTCCCTGCCAGAATCTCTGCCATGATACCCTGGAGCCAGGCGACTGTTCACAAATCAGAGTATCAGAGACTCTTTCTCTCTCCAACTTCTTTTTAAAAACAGAAGCCATGAGTTCAGTTTCTGGCAGTATAATATTGAGATCCTATAAAACCTTCACCTGAAAATGATGCTGGATAAAACATTTTTAAACCTTTTAAATGAAGAAACCAAAACTGAGGTGAAAGCAAAAATCCAGAGCTATCAGTAAGCCTTTGACCCAGTCTTAGCCTGGGGACATGTGCCCCACCCAGGGTCTGCACAGCTCGCAAGGACCACCCTGGGTCATAAAGTGAAGTTGCTCGACTGGCTACGTTAAAGTTAAGACTACCTTTCATAAAAAGGCACCATAATTTGGGAGAAAATATTAGCAATGCAAACACTGACAAAGGATTACTATCCAGAATGCCATTTGCCATGCTCCTATCTCAGGCCCACCCTCCAGGTATATGCTAGGGACCTTCCGCTTGCTGTCTCCTCACGGACATCACACCAGCGTTACCTCTTCATAAATCATTCCCATCAGCTAATTGTAATATGATAACTCTAAGAATTTAAAAAATACTCTTGACCAGGTGCCACCTCTCTGAATACGGCAAAACTCACCTGAAGAGTAGTCTATACTCTCCATCTCCCTTTCTCTCTTAAACCCCTATTACCACCAATTAAGCTCTTATCAGAGTCATTTGTTGCCAAATCCAGTGGTCATTCTCAGTTCTAGTCTTACTTAACCTATCACTTGATCTCTCCTCCCTTCTGAAAACACGTCTTCACCTGGCTAATGGGACACCACACTCTCTGTGTCACCCGCTTCCACCCTGGGCTGTTCCTTCTCAGACTGCCTTACTAGTTCCTCCGGCCTCCCTGACCTCTGAACAGCCCAGGGCCTCATGCTCATCCTCGGTCCTCTCCCCTGCGATATCCACATTGGCTCACTGGAGGAGCTCTTCCAGTCTCATATCTTCAGGATGGAGACTCCCAAATGTATGTCCTAGGCTGGACATTCCAACACCTGTAACCAACTCCCAACCCAACATCTCCCCTTGAATAGCTAAAAGCCATCTCAAATGTAACGTGTCAAAAATCAAACCCTTTAATCACCGCTCCCATCTGTTCTTCCCACAGTCTTCCCCTACCTCAAGTTATGAGATTATTATAAAATCTCAGCCTGATTTTTGATGCCTCTCTTTCTCTCCTGCCCTATCCAACCCACCAGGGAATCCTGTTGACTGCACACCTGTAATGTGTCTGGAAACTGGCCGCTTCTCACCACCCCCACTACGTCCACCCCAAACCAACACGTGATTCTCTCTCCCCTGGAGTTCTGAGTTAGCCTCCCAATGCTTCTCCGTCTCCTTCCTCTGCCTCCCTGCAGTCTTTTCTCAAGACAGCACAGGGTGAGCCTTCCCAACACAAGTCCTCCGGTCACTCCTCTACTCAAACCCGTGCAGTGACCTCCCACGTCACTCAGAATAAAAGCCAAAGTCTGCCTCTCATGTGGTTGAGGCCTGATCCTTCTCCCACCTCATCCCTGGTTCTCTCTCCTGGGCTTACTCGGCTCCACCCACACTCCAGCCTTCCTGGATCTTGAACTTGTCAAGGACGTACCTGCCCCGAGTCTCTGCCCTTTGTTTTCCCTCTTTCTAAGAGTCTCTCCCCCTGGCATCTGCACAGCCCACTCTTGCTTCAGGTCTCTGCTCAGATGTCGCCCCTCAAAGAGGCTTTCCCTGAGCCTCGAGCTCAGCATGCCCTTCCTCCCTCACCCAACTCTGTCTCTTCTCTGTAGCTCTCAGGAGCATCTGGTCCACTCTCTTTACTGATGGGTGTGCTTATTTACTCTCTCTACCAGGATGGATGAGGGGAGGGACTTTGCTCTGTCCACTGCCACATCCCGGAACCTAGAATAGTGCCTGGCAGAGAACAGGCATTCAGCTTTTTAAAACTGTGGTAAAATAGACACAGCATACAGTTTACCATCTTAACCATTTTTATTTGTACAATTCAAGGGCATTAAGTACTTCACACTATTGTGCAACCATCACCAGAACTTTTCATCTGCCCAAACTGAAACTCTGTCCCCATTAAACACTAACTCCCGTTACCCCTCCCCCAGCCTCTGGTAACCACCATTCTACTTTCTGTTTCTCTGTATTTGATTACTCTAGGTATTTCATACCAATGGAACCATACGGTATTGGTGTGACTGACTTATTTCCCTTGGTAGTATGCCTCTCATGTCACTTATTGTGCCTCTTAGCCCTATGCATAACTAACCTTATGTCCTTAAGGTTCATCTATGTTGTATCCTTTGTCAGAATTTCCTTCCTTATTAAAGCTGACTAATATTCGATTGTGTGTATATATATATATATATATATATATATATATATATATCTCACATTTTGCTTATCCATTCTTCCATCAATAGATACTTGGATGGCTTCTGCCTCTTGGCCATTGTGAATAATGCTGCTATGTGCAAATACGTGGGTGTGCAAATACCTCTGTGAGACCCTGCTTTCATTTCTTTTGAATGTATACATGGAATTGCTGGATCATACGGTTATGCCATTTTTACATTTTTGAGGAACTGCCTTACTGTTTTCCATAGTGGCTGCACCATTTTACATTCCCACCAACAGTGCAGAGGGTTCCAATTTCTCCACATCCTCATCAACAATGGTTATTTTCCGTTGCGTTTTTTTATAGTATCCCTCCTAGTGGGTGTGAAGGGATATCTCATCATGTCTTTGATTTGCATTTACCTAATGATTAGTGATGTTGAACATCTTTCATATGCTTGTTATATCATCTTTGGAGAAATAGTTCAAATCCTTTGCCCATTTTTTAATCAAGCTATTTGGGTTTTTTTTTTTTTTTTTTGTCATTGTGGCTGTTGATTTGCAGGAATTTTTTTATATATTCTGGACATTAGCCCATTATCAGAAATACGATTTGCAAATATTTTCTCCCATTCTTTAGGTGGCCTTTTCACTCTGTTGATTGTGTCCTTTGATGCACAGAAGTTTTGAATTTTGACATAGTTCAATTTCTCTATTTTTGCTTTTGTTGCCTATGTGTCTGGTGTCATATCCAAGAAATCATTGCCAAATACAATATTCCGAGGCTTTTCCTCTATGTTTTCTTCTCTGCGTTGTACTGTTAGGTCTTATTTTTAGGTCTTTGATCCATTTTGAGTTAACTTTTCTATATAGTGTATGGAAAGGATCCAAATTCATTCTTTTGCATGTAGTTTCCCAACACCGTTTGTTGAAAAGCCTGTCATTTCCCCATTGAATGATGTTGGCACCCTTGTCGAAAATCATTTGACCATATACGCAAGGATTTATTTCTGAGCTTTCTATTCTGTTCCATTGTTCTATATGTCTGTCTTTATGCCAGTACCACACTGTTTTGATTACTGTTCCTTTGTAATGTGTGAGACCTCCAATTTTGTTATTTTCCAAGATTATTTTGGCTATTTGGCATCCCTTGAGATTCTAAGTTCATAGGCCATCTCAGCTTCTTAGAGATAAAAAATAAATAAATAAATCTATCAAGTTGTTTACAAATTGAGGGCTATGCCAGGGTTTGTGGGAGAGGTATGGCCAGTGATACAAATAAAAATTTTGAGGCTTCCTTCACCATTGCACTATGGTGATCTAGGGCAGCATGAGGCTTTCAAGCCATAATGCCTGCTGTTCAGATGACATTCACTTCACCCTGGCCCTCCAGAGTCCATGGGAAAGCTGGTAATTGCCCACAAAGCTCATTGCACATTCTGGAGCCTGTGCTGGCCCACACTTGCTGATTGTGATGGATAGCCATTCCAAGCTGATGCCAGCGAAGAGCTTTCTCGGAGAGAAAAAGGCAACCACTTGTTTCAGGTTTCGTTCTTGAAGGACGTTCTCTGTAGCAGCTATCAAGGCCAAACGGGGGTGATGCCTGCCTAATGCAAGGTCTTGTGAAGATGGGGGCCAGGTGTCATGGCAGCCCAGAAGAGGGAAGCTTGATAAATTGCTCAAAAGTTATCCTCATCCTGCTTATGGAAGGTTTAGCATTAAGCAATGCCAATTCCTTGCAGGTTGTGAAATGGGAAAATATGGCCTATTCCTGGGGAAGAAGGGATCTTCTCTCCAGCAACACAGCTCCGACAGCAGGATGATTTATCGTAAGCAGTAGCCTAAGTGTGTACTTCTTGGGTTCTTTATACCATTGCCTGTGGAATTTTATTGCAAAATTAAAAATTGGATAAAGTCCAAATCATAGGCTTCCTAAAATAGTAGGAGAGTAGCTGTAAATTTAAAGATTCGGGGGAAATATGAGTCGATTTAATCCATTGAGTGACTCCAGTGGTCACCACTGGGATAGGATTTCTATCTAGGCTTATCTCTACTATTGGGAGGAGGTCCTGGGCAGACACAAGCACTGAGAAAAGGAACTCTTGTTTTGTACCATGTACAGAGAACCAACAGTATGATGACTCATTCTTTATTCTTTTCAGATAGTAAAAAAAAAGAGTTCTTGAAATGCTTGTCACTGAAATCTTGTGAAAACGATCAGTATGGAAACTGGAAACATCTACAGTCTGGCCTTGTTGATTAATGGATTCATTCCTGGGGTTATTAGTAAATGTCTTAGCTTCTCAGAGTCAGAGCTTCTTCCTTTTGCAAAGTAGAAAAAAATGCTTCCTTCTTTAATCTTTTATTTTACAGGCGTTTTGTGAGGTCCTTTGAGACCCATAAGGGAAAATGGAAAAGATGTTATAAAATTTAAAGTGTTATTTGTTATGGATATTATTTAAAATAAAATCTAGCCTAAAGCAAAAGTCTCATTCATCAGAGAGTTAAGTCTCAAGCTCCATCATCGCATTAATAGACTTTGCTTGCAAAGGAAAACTAAAATATTCCTGGTAAAACAATCTGATTCCATCATCCCAGTGAATAATGATAATGCCCTGACCTTCAATTAATTCAGTGACTGAGCTCTACTTAATAAATATGTGAGGACCACCAGCAGAGAGTGATAGAACTCTTTAGTACTTAAGAAACATTGGCTGGCAATCCTAATGGAATATTCTAGAACTGTGTATGCTTGCCAGAGTGTGGAAAGTAGGATGATAAGAGAGCGGTGAATCACTATCAATGAAACTTCCCAAAGACAGGAAACAAGACACAAGGGGTTCTAGGAGCAGAACAACTCACTTTCACCATAGACTACAAGATCAGAAAGGTTAAGAAGTCACACATCAAGAACATCTTCAACACCACTTTGCATACATTCTGTTGGAGTGCTGTTCTACCTGTGACCTCTTTACCCGTGGTCCTTCCCCACATATGAAGCTGTCCTGAGATAGAGTGGGCCGGAGGGTGGGGTGAGGGTGAGTGCAAGCATTGGCCCATCCAACCCCCATCAGATGGGTTGGGAAGGAAGTCGAGCGATGGATGTGGGGTTGGCCTCCGTGCTCTTAAGATCTCTCCCACCCCTGTGAATCTGTGGCCTGTGACTTCATCAGAGAAGCTTTATTGCTCCTTCTAAAGATGCATGAAAGCAATGTCAGATCTTTCTTAAATCCCACGTGTTTTTCCACCCTCCTTTCCTGTCCATGATGGTGATGTACCTGTATAGAGTTGCTTTCCAAATGAAACATTGCGTGGTTCCATATGGTTCCTGGTCTTTGTGGGACCTGATTGCCTGGCTGTTTCTCTCTACCAGCTGGGACAGCAGGGACACTGCCCCTGGTGAGCCACGGCACAGTGCCAGCACAGTGCCAGAATTTTCAGGTGGACTTTGAAGTCCTTATAGGATCATGGCTGCACCTGGGATTTGTTAACTAGAAGGGGCTGAGTTGAGACCACAAGCCTTGAAGTGACTGTCTGGTCAGCACTTACCAGTGCCTTTCTTGCTTACCCTCAGCCTCTTTCTTCTGTCCTCAAACCATTATTTAATCACGTGACATTACATAATCATCTGATACCTCTGTGTTCCAGAGATTTACCAGTATTGGCTCACTCTAGCTGCCCCTGCCTATTTTTCTGTAGACAAATTTCCTCCATCAGTGCATTGATTTTTCACTTGCCTCATTATTCCCAAAGCCAGACATTTGACTTCCAGCTATGTCTTTACTTATTTTTCCTACCCTTTTCGTAGGCTCTTGCTTACAAGACCTCAGAGTTTCGGTGATGGATTCCTATGGCTCGCCCTTTATCCATGACTCCCAGAAGGCCTGACACAGGTGTGAATGAGTCATAAGTTATGTGATACAGACTATAAATGTGTAGGATTTGGGGACAGGTCACAGTGAAGGCTGGACTGGCTGGGAAGGCTTTCTGAAGGGTTGCTGCAGTAATCCAGGCAGAGTCGTGAGGGTCTGGAATAAGGTAGGAAGGGGTAGGGGAGAGACTTGAAGGAACATATGGGGCCTTGGTGAATGATGGGAAATTCATAAAATGACATCTGAAGCAGTGGGAGCAATGGGGGAAACAAACAGTCTGGGAAGTCCCCTAGCCCAAGGGTGCCAGGAATCAGCTCCTGGAGGCATCCAAGTCTAGGAAAGTTAAGACTGACCGGTAAGAGTGATTTTGAACCTCCCTTACTCATCATAGACCACTTAGCAACGTTTGTGTACAAAATAGGCCACACTCTAGGACATAATATTTTGGTTAAAAATTTATTCATATACATTAAAATCTGCTTTAAAAAAAGGAAAAAGAACCACAGATAGTGGAATCCAGCAAGCGTATAGTGGCATCCTTGTTATAAATAACATTTGGTGCCCACGAAGGCCAACGTCTGGCCCCTTGCTACTATCATCAACAGTGATGGCAGGTGGAAAACACAAAGGGACCCATGCAGAACTGCCAGGGGCAGTTTCCAGGTGTTTCTCTCCCCCAGTGCTGGGCTCTGAACACTGGTAACTTAAAATAGTAATTTCTCAGTTGCTTAAGAGGAAAAGAAGAAAGACTAGAGCCATTCTTACCGGTTTGATGCCAACTTCTCTGACGTCACCAGGAGCAGGAGGAGCCTGTCTGAGAGGAGGGAGGGAGGGCGTCACAAAATCCTTCACCGTACGCAATCCAAGGAGGGAAAACTAAATCCAGCTGCCAGAACTCTGTGCAGCCAGGAGGGTCAAGGTTAGGGGGCATAGCTGCAGCATTAGGGGCACACATGTGAATGTCGGGCGCCCTGTCAGTATCTGCTGGGCAAGGAGTACGTCACTTAGCGTGAACCTAAAAGTGACCTCTTGTCATAAAACCCCATGTTCCATGCGGTAACTGATTTCACAGTGTGCCTTATAACACCCCTGCATCCTCGAGCTTCGGTAAGCTCCACTCACCATGGTTTAAGGGGAAGACAGAGGAATTCGAATTTGGGGTTTTTCTTTCCCCTGACCTATTGCTGGCTTTTACATAATCTTGAGCAAATCACTTATCCCTTCTTTGATCCAGTGCAGAATGGAAGGAGATTCTTAACACCTCCCTTATTTCTTTTCTGCTTTATTTTTTTTCATTGATTTAGTCAATCACTTATTTGTTCTTTTCCCCCCAGTTTTATTGAGATACAGTTGACATATAACTTATTCATTCTTCCAGTGAATACTGATTGAGTGTCTCAGATGTTCCAAGCACATTCCAGTCTCTGGTGATAGCCCAGCAAACAGACCAAGCGCCGGCCGTCACCGAGCGTTCATTCTCGTGAAGGCGGCCGACAGTGAACGCAGACCTACACACATGTGCGCTTAGGCGCACACACATCCATACACACATGCACATACACAGTCCACATCCACGTGCGCATATGTACATGCATACACATGTAGATTACATATATAAAGATATGTGCATGCATCTGTAGTACATACAACCATGCAATTTCACATGATGTGGGTCCTCTGAAGCAAGTTATTGAATAAGACTCTGGGGCAGTTACAAGCTTGGAAGTTAGAAGGACAAAAGCAGTGCCACATGCTGGAGCACAGGGGTGGGGGTGAGGGCAATCTGAGGCCTTGACCACTGTGGGCAGAAGCTCAGGTTTATTCCAGCTACAGTGGGAAGCCGTCATGAGGTGTAGGAAGACGAGGACTTATGGAACTCCGTGTGGACAAACTTATCAGACGTTCATAGGATGGAACTTCAGAGAGCATATCTAATCCAGTTCCCTGGTTTTAATAATGAGGAAATAAAAGCCAAGGAGGTTAAGCCATCACCCCAGCCACACGGCCAGAATTGGGACCCAGCCCCCAATCTCCCACCAGGATTCTTTTGACTCCAGCTCTCTCTGTTCCCTTGGGAACTGCTTGTTCTTCCTCACCCCAGCCTCATGTTCCTCAAGCCACCAACCAGTATTTTCTCCCCTGGCTCAGTGGCCTCCACCCCTACAGCCACCAGCTTCCCCAGCTCCAGAGTCCCACACGGCAGCTGCCCAGAGCTGTTCACCCAGGGTGCATCTAGTCCATCATTCTGTTGGGGTAAACCGAGGCACCCAGCAAAAATGTGCTCCCAGGTAGGTGTTAAGGTGCAAAGAGTTCTCTGGTGTTGCCCTTCCCTGCAAGCTGCTGTAGCTTCCTCTCTACTTCCCAAGGAGATGGGTCTGGAATCCCTCCCAACAGAATCTGGAGGTGCTGACAAAGTCACTGGGATCCAGGGGTGACACGGTAAAAAGAGAGAACTGAAAAAGTGGTGGCCATCCTGCTTTCATTTGCAAGAGGAAGGCCCCTTCAGGCACACGTGTTCCTGGAAGGCCCACAGGTGCCTCCACTTTTCAAGGGACCACTGTGGGGGAGCTTGTCATTTAATTAAAAATATGAGTGTTTCTTAGAATATGACAAGTGGTCTTCCTACATCTGAATCACTTAGGGAGCTTGTTAAAGTGCAGGGTCCTAGGTCCCCCTCGACTTGCTAAGTCAGAATTTCTGGGAATCGCTTACTTTGAAAATGTTATCTAAACAACCCATTTCCAAATTAGGCTTCTTGGTTTCAGCTGTTGAATGGTCCAATCTGACTGAGTCACCATAATTAACCCAACTAAATATATTAGGAATTGTTACCAAAAAAGCGCTGGATTGTGAGAATTCTGTTAGGAATTAGAATGCTAAAGAAGTCCCACCGCTGGCAGACTGTCTTTGGCACAAGCGGAACCTCAGTTCTTGCAAAGATGGATGCTGTCTCCTCCACATTTTCCCCCATAATAGTGTATTGGTCTAATGAGTCAATGAAAGCTCTTGAGACCTAAGGTGGGGTTGGCAAACTTTCTCTGAGAAGGGCCGGATAGTGAATACTTTTAATTTCTGTTGCAACTACTAAACTCTGCCATTGTAGGGGGTATGCAGCCATCAATAATACATAAATGAATGAGCATGGCTGTATGTCAATCAGACTTTATTTTCAAAACAGGCATCAAGCTGGATTTGGCAATGAGCCATAGTTTGCAGAACCCCTGATCTAAGGTATTACACCCTGGAACTAAGTTCAATATTTAGAGCCAAAATATGTGATTCTGATAAAGCCCCAGACCTAGAAGGGTGTGCTCATAGTGTTTAGCAGGGCCATATGGGACCTGTGCTGTGAATCGGAGAGAGTGGGCCACAGTTGGTGTGTAGTAGACACTAACGTGTCCAGAACACAGTGCTCACATTCACCTGAAATTCTGCCCTAGGATCACAAGATTTACGGTGTGGGCTGGCATCCATTCTCCATTCCTTAAGAGTACGTACAAAGGAGGATGATCACAATGGTAATCCATCTAGAAAATCTGTCAGTTGGATGACCTGGGAGCAGTGCTGTCCAATAGCACTTCCTGTGATGGTGCAGATGGTCTCTCTGCGGCGTCCAGTAAAGCCCCCACTTGGCACACATTACTATTGCACACTTGAAATACGGCTGGTTTGACTGAGGAACTGAATTTTTAGTTTTATTTCATTTCAGTTAATTCAAATGTAAAAAGCCACATATACCTAGTGTCTACCAAATTGTACAGCACAGCTTGAGGGAGAATTTAAAATGCTTAACTTGAAGAGAAAGGCTGGGAGAAGGGTATCTCGTCAGTGTTTCCGAATATTTTGAGGCACTATCATGTACCAGGGAGGCCAAACTTTCGCTATTTTTTAAATTGCTTTAGAGGGCAAAATTAGAACTCTCCAAGAAGGCTGGACATTGCTTGTGGTGGTTATGAATGCAGACAGTGGAGTCCAATTTCCTGGGTTCCAATCCTGCTCCACCACTTCTTAGACCTGTGGCCCCCATAAACGTCAGCTGTGTCTATTAGTACCACATTGCTGCTACACAAAGACTCGATGAAGGAAGAATGTCTTAGTCTTGGAGCTGGACAGTACTAGAATGGCCTTCCCCTTCAAGTGGTGGTTTCCTACTCTTGGCGGAGTCTATGAGCTTGTGGAGCTCCAGCCAGGGCTGTGGGAGGTGAAAAAGGCCAGAATGAAAGGCTGGTCACCCCACATGACCTCTGAGAGCAGTGATGCTTAAGGGTGAAAGGGTCTGAGAGCAGAGAGTCGCCACAAGATGGCGGCCTATCTAGATGGAATTCTCTGAGTTAGGGAGCAGATGCCAGCAGAGAAGAGATTAGAGTTCCAGAGAGTCTGTGAGAGGAGGAGGAGGAGCAGAGGAATGATTCAGGATTGCTGGCAAGGTCACGGACACCTCTAACAGAAGAGCTCCTGTGGCCTTCTTGGGCACATCTATAGATAGCATAAAGCCAAAGGTCAGACAGCTATAGGAAAATAATTTGTATTCCCTGTATTTCCAGGACCAGGTACCCAAAGAGAAAGCCATCTGCTTTCTTGAGGTTAGAGGAATTGAAGAGGAATGCCTCTTATGTGGTACTGAGTAGATAGCAATAAAGATGAGCCAGCAAGAAGAATAGACCCTCTGTAGGATCTGGTCACAGGAGGAGCTTGGACATAAAACTAGGGATGCTTGGAAGAGATTTTTAGCCAAGTCAAGTTGACCTGCATCGCATGGTAACTCAAATCTATCTGTTTTGCAGATAGTGGTGCCCTCAAAGTCACAGTGGTTTCAACGGCATTTTAATAGCCAACTGTGGGTCGCTATACTGCAGCAGGGGTGGGGTAGGGTGGTGTAGGAGGAAACAGAAGAGGAAAGACCCTCTCTCCCAGGAGCTTGGCCTCTGT